TTCCTTTTTGAAGGAACCTGTATAGCCGCTCTGGGATCCGACGTGGAGATCAGCTCGAATAGGGCGTTCACAGCGGCCTCAAGATCGCGAAAGAAGCTGTTCCCTTGCTTCTTGAACTTGGAGGGAACAGATTCTTCCTTCCCTCATTTTTGAGAGACTAGCTGAGGAGAAGCGTGAGAGGTCGTCGAAACCCTGAGCTGTCCCACTGAAGCCCCCTGAGGAGGAGATTTGCTCTTAAGAAGTTTAAGGGGTAACGAGGGTGCAGCCGCAACCCCAAGGGAAGGGAGGTCCTCACACTTCTGCTCTGAGGAGATATGCTTGAGCCCATACGCCGATGCCTCTGTGGGCAACGGCTGTAAACCCTTCACCAACTTCCTCTTCTTCCTTGTCTTCTCGGTATCCAAAAAGACCACCATGATTAAATCTTGATCCATAGATTCAGACTGGCTGGCAGGTGATGGCGCTATCTTCGGAGCAGGGTCAACGGGCAACCCTAGCTCGTACTTAGCAAGGTTCTCGTCGGTCACTAGATCAAAGAAGGATTGCAACCCAAAGACCTCGGCTTTAGCGACCCTAGCAGCCTCCTTCGCGTTGATTGTTGGGCAGAAGGTTGCAAATCGGATAAAAAATTAGCAAGGCATAAAAACAGGGCAAAAAGGTATGTATAGTTAATCGGTTGTCCCTACTAATGTTCCTTGGAATACCCTAAGACCTGGGGACATGAGGAACATCATCAGGCTCTCCTGAAAGCTCTCAGGAGTCACCCTGAAATGAAAAAAAATCTTGGATTCCACTTGTTGATGGAGGAGGGCAGCCTAGAAATTAGGTTCTTCGCCTTGACCTTTTTTGCAAAATATAAAAAGCCCAAGGAAGGAGAAGATTTGAGTTGGAAAAGAGAGGCAAACTCCTGAATCGTAGGATGGGAGTCGTTCCCACTCTTAAACTGGTGAACAGGGAATCCAATTAGAAGGCCCCAGCCATTCAGGGAAAGCAGGGTTGTGCAAACTTTGCAAAAACCAAGAACATTCCAAATAAAAGGATGGACTGGGAACCGGAGGCCAACCCAAAAATACAAACACGAAAAAGTAGGTCAGCCCGAGAAGAGAGGAGTTACACCTCTCGTGCACCTCGGGAGAATACAAATACACAAAATCAAGAAAATGATACTCTCGCCTCAGCTCCTCCAAATCCTCATCATCGAGACAACTGGCAGTCGCTGGTTTGGTCTCGACGAACTTTCTTCCTAGGAATGGAAGGTGGGATTGGTTTGGACTTCCACTTCCTTGGCTGGTTAGAGGGGATCGAAGGTAAAGATAAGGGAGCCTGAGTCTCTACCAAAGAAGCTGAGGTTGAAACCTTAAGGGCAGACCCAGAAGCTTCCTTATAAGCAATAAGATAATGGTCACTAGAGGAAATCGAGGTGGCCCCTTCATCGACCTGTTCGTCAAACTTTGACTCAGAAGAAAAAATGACAAACTTCCCCATTAATGGTTCAGGTCACAGACTGGAATGTAAAGAAGGAAAATGCAAGGCACAATCAATCAAAAACAAAGGTTTCAAACACCAGGCCCTAAGAAAGGATACCCTTACAAAAGAAGAATGATCTACGAATTGTGAAAGGGGAGAGAGATTGTTGGAGTGACCCCTAAAGTAACTAAATTTTCAGATCAGAAAGCAAAACCCCAAAGCCCCACCAGGGAGGGTTGAGGGGGTCCAAGTCGAACAAAAAATGAAAGGGAAGAGAAATGTACCAAGTAGGGCGCTAGAAGTATAAAAGAACCAGAAACGCAGAAACCCTAAGTCACTGTAGAGCCTAAAACAAAACGCCTCAAAAGCCGAAGGAAAGGGAGGAGCACAAAGGGGAAAGGATTCAAAATCACAGGGCGAGAGAGGAGAAAAGATTTTCCCTTTTTATATACAACATTCAATTCATGACAGGCATATGGTAGAACATGCTAGAAAAATTGTGCCTACAGGATCTCCCGCTGTTGACATGTGTGCATAACCATCTCATCATAGCCAGCAGACAGTAACATAGCCTAACCCTGGTCAGAATGAATAATCAAGCACAATCGCCACTCAAAGAAGCAATGTCGAAGTTTGAAAAAGACGTTTTTAACCCTTAGAACAGAGATGACATCATCCTCGTGACCTGGGGTTGGGGGGCAACTGATAAGGACGAAATTTAAGGCATGGGCTTTCATATCCAAGAACCCAATGAGCTTAGGAACCCTTTTAATTACACAACGATCTGAATGGGGGACCCACAGCTTTGCCCACGTCTGAAGTCTAAGAAGGGAAAGCCTAACATCACCAGAGGACTTGTGATCCAACATATCCCCAATCCAGCCCAGCTGATGAGTAGCCCAAAAGATGGAAGCCTGGTTCGAATGCCTTTTTTGAATCACTCTTGTTGAACCGCGTATCCTAAAGGCTCAGGGACCACTCCTGACACCTATGACAATCACAAAACAGAGGAGGATGGAACACACAACCATCAGAGATCGTGGGAATAGTGGCACCGGATGATAGAGTTTGCTACACGGTGCAGACAAGAGAACCTACGAAATCAGCACAAAAGAAGGAGGAGCAACAGGAAACCCTAGAAGAATCATTGTATAAATAAAGAACTGTTACGCAACAGTGAGGGGGATCTAAATCTTCATCTTCATCTTCTCTGTTCATGCTCTCAAACCAAGAGCCTAGCAGCTAAAACAGATCACACAACCCTCGTAAAGAACCCAATGCTTGTATCACCGTTGTATTCACCAAGGATTATAGTAATATACGATCTCAAGGAGTAAGAAGTTCCATTACAGTGGACGTAGCCTTAGTCCGTCCACTAAGGTGAACCACTTACATTTTACGCTCTGTTAATCTACTTAGATTAATCCCCTCGTCGCAAAATTTCACTAAAACTCCAGACACTTTGTTGGTTGGGCTTGGGCTATTATTTCCAAACATCATCACATACCAAAAAATAAAATATAATAAATTGATTGTGGTATTCAATCTGATGACTACATGTCTATAATAATTTAATGTATAGATGACTTACTTCTTTATATAGATATACAAAAATTGTACATAACTATACTACTATTAAATTAACGGTTGGCCTAATGGTCACCGTAATCTGTTGTTGAACCGTTAACTCGCAGGTTCGAACTTCATCAATTCCCTCGCCTATATTAAAAAAATTATAATAATTAGAGATAGAATAGAAAATTTAAATATTTCTTTTGCAGATTTTGACATTTATAAGTAGCAAAAATAGTATAGATATTGATAGATAGATAGAAAAATTGGAGGAATAAAAGTATGAGTGATATATTTCCTATTCTCGAAGAAAAGAAATCTTCATTTCCCCCCTTGGTGTTTCGCAATAGGGATGGGAACAAGGAGGATTGAATATATATATATTATGTTTATGTTTGTAATGTATGAAAAAGTAGAGCGAAAGGGTGTTTTTTTTAAACATTGTATCCATATATGAAATTAGTACATACATATGTCAATTGTCATATACCAATACTAAATTATCCAAATTTTAACACTTAATTAATTTATTTTCCTAATTTTAGAGGGATATATTTTGATAAGTTGGAAAGAAGATTAATCCTTTTATTTTTTTCTTAACAAATTAAGATGCTTTTATCCATCATTTCTATTTTTCATCCATTCATTTTTTATCACACCAAACAGATCTTAAATTTGTTGCCTTCTTGTTTCCTGCCAGTAAACTGACTCATGTGCATTTTGTAGTAAATGTTATTCACTATAAAGGCTATTTCTAATCAAATCAAGAGTTTTATTGGAGTGGTTAGAAAAAGCTTGCTCTCTCTTTTAACTTCTCATCAAATCAAAATAGGCAGGACTATTGGAGTTGTTAAAAAAAATTTAATCTCTATTTAAACTTTTCATACGTTTTTTATTTTTAAAAATATATTCTTTAAAATAGATAATACTATTGAAGATGCTCATAGTAGTTATTAAAATTTAGAATTGATGGAACCTGTTCCGCCTTTGCTACCTTATAAATTGTATCTTTTGATTAACTTGCATAAGGTTTGAGATGTATGTATTTGAAAATGAACAACTAAACTTTTGAGCTCAGTTATTATTCAAATCAAGCCTAATAAATGTTTCATTCTACAAACAAAATTAATGGGCTTATTCAAATCAATAAGCCCAAACACCGTATAGTTTTGCTCATAGTCTACAAACAAAATTATACCGTTTCAATCACAATCCCCATCTTTTAACATAGATTTAATTCAATTTGATCAATGGTTCCTTTATATGACATACAAGTTATAGGAAAATGACACGTGTGATGAGATTTGTACCTCCAATTTTTATCACTTTATTGGTTGTTTTTATAATTTTTGTGAATTATTTTATAACTAAAAAATTTGTTATTTTTGTGGGTGGTTTGTCACTTTTGTGAGTATTTTTATCATTATTGTAGGTGTTTTTACCACATTTGTGATAACTTTTTTTTTTTATCACTTTTATTTGGTATAAAAAAATTACCACAATTATTGATATTTTTACTATATTTGACAATATTTTTACCACATTTGACAACATTTTTACCATATTTGTGAATATTTTTACCATTGTTGTTGTAACTATTTTTAGCATTTTTTAGATACCATACTAGCGGTAAAAGGACCCACAAATGTCGTAAAAATAACTATAAATGTGATCAATGGAGTTATGGTAAAAATAAGTAAAAAATTAAAATTAAACTCTCTCTCCAATAAAAAACAAAAACAAAAGTTACAACATTTTTTTCAGTAACACTAGCACGTCTTTTTTTATTTCTCTCTCATATAATAAATAAAAAATAAATTAATTTCTAAAAAAAATTAATATTAAAAATAAAAAAAACATCCTTTTAAGTGTCAAATTACCTTAAGCGACGCTGTCAATTCCTTTTCTGTCCGTAATGTATGGACCACCAATATGATAGGAACAAGACAAGTTTACCCAAAATGGTCCCTGAAGCAAAAAGAGGTGATGGATTGTAAATCAATTCAATTGAGTCGTAGCTTGTTTAGGTTGGTTACGACTTACAAACTAATTTAATTGGGTCATAATCTTTGGTACTATATGTAAGTTTTGTGGTTTTTTAATAACTCGTACACGTCTTATATATTATTGTAATTAGATTTGAATAAATTAATAGTACAAAAAAATAGAAGAATAGAACACCAAAAAGAGAAACAATAGAATATAACCCTCACGTAAAGAGATCAATCAATACCTTTGCCCCCTAACCTTCAAATTGGGAGTTTTCAATGGTGGTAGATTGAATTAAACTCAGTTGATTTACCATATTAAACAATTATTTGTGTCAATTTGTGCAAAAACTAGTATAATGTTACGACAGTATCAAAAGAAGTGATAATCCAACGAGGTGAGACTATTTTTATTGTAATTTTAAATTTTGGTTTATTTGATCCAATGAGGTGACCTAATTTATTCATAACTTGGTTTATTTGCGATATTACTTGATTTGATTGGATCGCCACTTTAAGTAAAATATTGACAATTAATTTTTTTCGCATTTTTATTTTACTTTTGTTTGTTGGATTCCGAAACTCACAAAAAATTGTTTTATTGTTTTTTAAAATTTGTACTTTTTGGAAGAGACGGGATTGGAGAAGAAAACAATCAAGGGGTATGCACACCGGACGGTCAACAACGGGCATAAGGTGAAGTACAAGTCGAATTTTGTAATTACTCAAGATTTCGAGGAGATTGGTGGTATTTTAGTACAAAATGAGCACCACAAGGAGATGTATCTGACGAATATAGTTCTTGATGGATTTCTTCATGGGACTGTTACTCTACCTGTAATTCATGGGTTCATGCAAAGTTTGATGATCCTGACAAAAGAATTTTCTTCACCAACAAGGTCAGTCACGATCATGTTTCTTCATATCTGTTAAACACCCATACAGTCACTCTTTCTTTTTTTGGGTTAATCAAAGGGAATTAAAAAAGATGGGACCCACAGTTTAACTCCATCCAGGAAATTAGAGTACGGATGTGTATACCAAAATCCTTACTAGATTTTGTTTATTAATGAGAATGTGTGGTTGGATTCAAAACTGAAAAAATAATAGTACCTATTGGCCGACGGTACATATTAATTTTGGTAAGTAAAAAATAATAAAAGATATGATAATATTAACGGTATCTATAAAATTAAGAGTTCAAATTAACAAATAGTTTTCGTGGGCACGTGACGTTTGTGTAATTTAATGTGAATGTAATATACATATAGGAAATATTTTTGTGGCGGGGCTTAGAAGTCTTTTTAATCACTTTGTTGGACTAATCAAGCCTTTCACCTGAGTCCCACAGCAAAAATCGGACTCAGTCATAGAGAGGTGGTCCTCTTAGAAACTTGATAGCTATATGAAGACTTTCACGATTGTTGTTTAATGATGCACAAAATAATTTTGTGTAAGATCAATAATCGAGTATGTAATTAATAAATAACTAATAAAGAAATCAATGACTGTAATGTAAATATTGAGTCAACATATAAATTTATAGTGGTACGGTTCGAGTCACCTACTCCATTCTGAGAAACAACAATGATAGTTGGAGGGTCTTTATTGATGAAGTGAGGTAAATAGGGGGGAGGACTCCAATGACGATTCCATAAGGAAGAAGGAAGCAAGACCAAGGAGCTCACGAGGGACTCGAGGCTAGGCTTCAATGAAGCCATGGGCAACACCTATCCTAGGGTCGACAATCAACAAAGGCACTAGAGGTGGAGGTGTGACAGGCAAGCCGCTGGGCGGCGCCAGCGTGTTGGGTTGCTGGAAACACCAAAGAGGGAGACGTCAATGAGGGAGGGGCTAGCCTCGTTGGCAGCGGCGCCCTGGGCACAGGTGTCAACAGAGAAGGCGCTGCTTAAGGTGGCTCGGGCTCCATCCAGGGTGGCTTGGGTGCCTTCTTGAGTTACTTGGACGCTGTCTTTGGTCGCTCAGGCGCCATCTCGGGTTGCTCGGGTGTCGTCTCAGGCCAATTGGGCGCCGTCTCAGGTAGTTGGGGTGTCGTCTCAGGCCACTTGGACGCTGTCCCAAGTCACTTAGGCACCATCCCGGGTGGCTCAAGCGCTTTCTCGGGTAGTTGGAGCGCCGTCTTGGGTGGCTTAGGTGCCAAACCAGGTGCCTTGGGCGCTATCCCATGTGGCTCGGGCACCGTCTTAAGTCACTCGGGTGCCATCTTGGGTAGTTGGGGTGCCATTTTGGGTGGCTCGTGGTGCTGTCTCGGGTTGCTCGAGCAGCGTCTCGGGTTGCTTTGGTGTTATCCTGGGTCGTTTGGGCATCGTCCCAGATGGCTCGGGCGCTGTCTTGGGTCGCTTGGGCACCGTCCCTGGGTTGCTTGTGCACCGCCTTGGGTTGCTTTAGTGCCGTCTCGGGTCGCTTGGGCGTCATCCTGGGTCACTTGGCGCCATCTCGGGTCACTTGGGTGTCGTCCTGGGTTGCTTGGGCGCCACCTTAGGTCACTTAGGAGCTACCTTTGGTCACTTGGGCGCCATCTCAGGTCACTTGGGTGATTTGTCGTCCACTCCTCCCAAGAGGGCGAGGTTTGATGCCCCCAGTGCTTTTCAATCGACGTCTGATGGCCAGGTTGCTTCGTGGGAGCGGTATTCGATGGTGCCCCAACTCTTTCTGAGACTGTAACTCCCGTGTGCATTAATGCTAGCCCTTATACCACTTTAGGATTTGAGACTCCAACGCAGTCTTCTGTGGGGAATGTAGCTCCACATAGCTGCCCTGTTTCTAGTAATGGCTTTGAGTCCATGCTGCAGGATGTGAGATTGGCCAAGGAGTGGCTATTGAGGTTTGTGACTCCTAGAAATATTAGAGAGGTTGGCTCCTTGAGGTCCAAAAGGCATTAATACTGCGATGAAGGGTTTGCCTTAGTAACCAACTTTGATTTTGCACTTGCCTCCTTTTCTTCATGTTCTATTTTTTGAATTATTGTAGGTGATTATCGTTTTTTCCTGCCTCTTTTCAAGAACGATCAAAACATGGAGAGGCATCTAGGGATCTGAAAAAAGAGAGGCAAGCTTCGAGAGACTGTTGAGAAGCAGTTGAGGTTTGGTCATGAAAGAGTCACGCCTCTTGAGACCCAACTTTTTGACATGCACGAGATGACCGGGGAAGTTGGAGGCTGATAAAGAGAATGTTTGCATGAGAACAAAGTTAGGGCTGCGAACATCCTGTGAGAGGGTTGCAAAGCTGGAGGCCAAGCTACGTATAGCTCGGGAGAAGGCTACCGTTACAGAGACTTATACGGAGACTACTTGTGCGAGAGTAGATTCAGAGTTACGGATGTCCCGTGAGAGGGCCACAAAGCTAGTGACCGAGTTACATACAGCTCAGGAGAGGGCTGATGTGGCAGAGGTTTATAAGAAGACTAACTGCGCAAGAGCAGAGTTAGAGCTGCTGACGTCCCGTGAGAGGGTCGCTAAACTAGAGACCAAGCTATGTATAGCTTGGGAAAGGCTGTTGTGGCAGAGGCTTACAAATAGACAACCTGCGCGAGAGCAAAGTCAGAGTTGCAGACGTCCCGTGACAGGGCCGCTAAGTTGGAGGTCGAGCTACGAATAGCTAGGGAAAGGGTTGTCGTGGCAAAGGCCTATAAGAAGACTATCTGTGCGAGAGGAGAGTCAGAGTTGTAGATGTACCGTGAAAAGGCCGCAAAGCTGGAGGCTGAGCTACATATAGCTTGGGAGAGGTCTGTCGTGGTAGAGACTTATAAGGAGACTACTTGCGCGAGAGCAGAGTTAGAGTTGCGGACGTCCAATGAGAGGGCCACAAAGTTGGAGGCCAAGCTACGTATAGCTTGGGAAATGGGTGCCATGGCAGAGGCTTATAAAAAGACTACCTGCGCGAGAGCAGAGTCAGAGCTACGAACGTCCCATGAGAGGGCTGCTAAGCTGGAGGCCGGGCTATATATAGCTCAGGAAAGGGCTTTCGTGACAAAGGCTCATTCCATTGAGATGGAGATGAGGAGGGAGGTTGCTGAGAAGGCCATTGCAAGCGCCTTTATTAATGGTTATGAAGAGCTTGACAGATTTCCCTGCTTGTTAATTTCTCTAGCTTCATCCCATATGAGGCACTAGGGGTAGATGGTGACGAGGAGAGCCTTGATGATAGTGGCTCAAGGAACTGTGACTAATCATCTGAAGTATGACGAATTTTGTTTTGTCTACCTTGTTGTTAGCTCATGTTCTGACTTTTGTAAGCTATTTACAAACTTTATGAAATGAAAGCAAGACAGTTCTGGACACAATAATCTTCGCAGAGTTTTATTTCATAAAATAATAAATAATAGAATAAATCGACTAAAACAATAAAGGACATATAAAATGAGAGCCACTAGCTTGTACTCGTTATAGCTCTTCAGGTGCTCGATGTCCTATAGGTGGGCCAAGACTTTCCTAGCGGAGTTGGAGTAGCCTCCTCCTCCTTCTAGCCCTCAAGAGATTGTTTGGATTTCTCCGAGGGGTTGTTGTCTTTCTCTATTGTCTTGGTCCCAGCTGGGTGGCAAGGCTTGTCCTCCGCCAACAACGTACTGCCTCAATTGGCCACACTGTATGATCTCCTCGACCTGCCTTTTCAGATTAAAGTAATCGTCAGTATCATGGTCGTGGTCGCAATGGAAACGGAAATACTTGTTCGGGCTTGTATGGTCCGGGGTGGTCTTCATCTTCTCTGGCCAGTGTACTATAGGATCATCTTGTTTTTGGAACAGGATATGTTACATGGAAGCATTGAGTTGCGTGAAGGCTTGCCGCTTTCTCAAAGGCAGTGGACCAAGATGGTCCTTGACAGATATTCTCTCTGTCCTATTCATTTTGTTCTCTGCTTCCCGTTTGTCCTCACAGGTGTCCTTCCTCTTCTCGCCTTAATGGGATGACTCACTTTGTCTGGCCTTGGTGACATCCTCGGCATTCATCGTGGTGGGGAAGGCTCTCCAGATCAAGGAGCCACCTTGAAGGGATCTGGAGAGCCCCTAAGTCTCTCCTTGAAGGAGGCTCTCTAGATCGAGGCTCTCTAGACCCCTTCAAGGTGGTGGGGAAGACTCTACACATGATCTCATCAAGCATATTGTGGAGTTGCATAAGAGACTTGGGGGATAATTGACAATGTCTGTAACGAACGGCATATCAATGCACCTTACCAAGTAATCCACCGTCTTAAAGCACCGGCGCCATGATGACGTTGAGGGAACTTTGATTTTACACCACTTTGATCACCGAGTGCCATCACCGAGTTGGTTTTACACCACTTTGATCTTCTCATCCCATTGGATGGGGACATCCTCCATCAAATCGTTGTAATGGCTTTCATAATCGGCATACTGGCTTTCTCCCTTATCCTCCTGCATAGGTACATAAGGAGGGGGAACATATGAGCTTCCTGTGTGCTAAGGAAGGACTCCTGGGCGAGGGGCACCTGAGCAACAGGCTCCACGGCGGGGGGTAGCTTGGCTCCCAAAATGGAGAGGTTGTTGTGCTTTTCCCATTGGTGCTTCTTCTATGGGTTGAGGGGCGACGCCTCTCGAGGCAAGCATCAACTAAATGATTTGTTGGTTCTAGTTTACCAGCAGCTACATGGTTTGTTAAAGCTATTGTCCAACCATGGGAGTTGCCACAGTGGATGGTTCCAAGGTTGTAATGGGAGGCGGAGCCTCCTCCTGGGGGGCCGAGTTGTTGTCTCCTGAATGTTGATCCATTGACCTGGTCGTGATTGCCATGGATGTAAAAATAGAGTAATAAGGTAGTAGAAAACTTAATCGTTTTTGACATACGACACTAAATTGATGATGCATAAAATAGTTTTATGTAAGATCAACAGTTGAGTTTGTAATTAATGGACAATAAATAAAGCAATCAATGACAATAATATAAATACTGAGTCAACACAGATATATAGTAGTTCGGTCCGGGTGACCTACTCCACTCTGGAAAAGACAACGGTGGCTAGGGGGTCTTTATTGATGAAGTGAGGTAAATAGGGGGGAGAGTAATGGTTAGCTCTAGGAGAGAACCATCCACTATGATAACTCCCGTGGTCGGACAATAGCTTTTACAGACCATGCAGCTGCTGGTAAACCAAAACTAGCAAATCATCCAATTGATGCTTGCCTCGGGAGGCATAACCCCTCAGCCCGTAGGAGGAGCACCATTCCCTCCAATGGGAGAAGCATATCAACCTCTCCAATCTGGGCACCAAACCACCCCCCACCGTGGAGCCCAGTGCTAGAACGCCCCGACGCCCTTCGCCCAGGAGTCCCTCCTCAACGCATATGAAGCTCATATGTTCCCCATCCGCATATACCTGTGCAGGACGACAAGGGAGAGAGTAACTATGCCGATAATGAAAGCCATTACAACAACCCGACGAAGAATGTCCCCAACCAAAGGGACGAGAAGATTAGAGAGGTGCAAAACCAACTCGGTAATCCCCTCAACATCATCAAGGCACAGGTACCCGAGACAATGGATTACTTGATAAGGCACACTAATACACTGTTTGTTGCAAATATTGTCAATTATCCCTTACACTCAAAGTTTCAGATGTCTATCATTGAGATCTTTGAAGGTACCAAAGACCCTCTGGATCATCTTGACACCTATAAGTCCCTCATACAACTTCACAAAGTGTCTAATGAGATCATGTGTAGAGCTTCCCCACCACCTTGAAGGGGTCAGCTCGACAATGGTTCACGAAGATCAAACCCTCCTCTATCCATTCCTTCGCAAAGCTAAGTAAATCTTTCGTCTCCCACTTTATTGGGGGATGCTAACATCAGAAGCCTGTTACCCACCTGTTCATCATCAAGTGGGATCGGGATGAAAGCCTTAGGAGCTACCTCACTCATTTCAATGAGGAGGCTCTCCAGATCGAGGAGCCAGACGATAAGGTAGCCCTGGCCGCCTTTATTGCTGGTCTACACTCCTTTAGTTTCATGTTCTCCATCCTTAAGAAGCCGTCCTCCAGCATGACTGAGTAACTATCAAGGGCACAAAAGTACATGAACACCAAGGATGTCACCAAAGCCCGTCGAAGTGAGTCCTCCCGAAGAGGAGAAAAAAGGAAGGACACCCGCGAAGACAAGTGAGAGGCGGAGAACAAGAGAAAAAAAACTAAGAGAGTCTCTGTAGAGGACCGTCTCGATCCCATACCCTCGAGAGAATGGCAACCTTTCACTCCACTTAACGCCTCGGTGGAGCACATTCTATTCTAGATACAGGATGACCGCTCTACTGGCCCGAAAAAATAAAGTCTGACCCAAATCGTAGAACTTGTAGGAGGTACTGTCGCTTTCACCATGACCACGACCACGACACTGATGACTGCTTCTAGTTAAAGAGGCAGGTCATGGAGCTTATTCAGCGTGGCCAGCTAAGGTAATATGTTGCTGACTAAGGACCGGCTCTACCACGCAGCCAGAATCAGGAGGATCAAGAGTGTTAGCAGCCCCTCGGAGGATCCAAACTATCACCGAAGGGTTAGGAGGAGGAGGTGACTCCAACTTCGC